CAAACATATTCCCTGGCTGTTGGCAGCGGTGTAAGAACAGTAATAGCTTTGGTTTGAAAGTGAAGACAACAGAGTGAGCTCTCTGCACTGACCGATAATGACTGGAGTGAGAGAGATAAACAGGCTTCGCTGGGTAAACAGTGGCTGTTGCCATGGTACAGTCTTGCCCATTCTGACCGATATACTTTGGCTTTCCCTTAAAACTGTGGGAGCGGTTATTGGCATTAGTACATAGGGGGCAGTTATTGGCATTAGTACATAAAACGTGGACATAATTCTGAAGATGGTGATTTCAAATGCCCACTTTGTGGCGGTGGTGTGTATAAAATGTTACTGAGTGGGCAAGATAATTAAGTTTATCAAGCAATTTGCATTTTAATTTCCTTTTTTTTAAAATTTCCTTTTGAAATAAGGCTTATTTCCGTTTCACACAGAGGAAACTTGTATACTAAAACGGCCAGCATATCTTTCTTTGAGGGAGTTGACAGTAGTACCAGAGTTGGACCTGTGGTGTACTGCACGTGAGGAGAGTTCTACCCTCAAGGGTTCAAAGAGAAGGGAACAGCCAGGCCAGGTCATGGGCGTCTGTCTGGAACAAGCCTCCTTAAGCCCTGTTGTCATGCTCCAACTACAAGCAATGATGCATAGTTCATACATAGCCCTAGGTGATGTCCATTTACTAAACAAAAATCTTCCAGTGTCTGGATTCTTTCATACTTTGAATTTTAAAAATAAATTATTTAACATGGGACATCATTTTAAAATACCTTGATATTAATATTCTTTGGTAACAGTTTGTGCTCACGGATTTAGGTTATTTTGTTTGATATTTCTTACTAAATATTTTATTTCACCTGAGTCTCTAAAACTACTCCGTGGAATACTTGAGTTCTCTAAATTCGGAAGATTTTAATTATCATCCATAGATAAATTCAAACTATTTTCATTGTAAACCTGAAGTAAATAGATTAATCTTGGAACATTGAAGGAACTGATTTGTTCTCTTCTTTCTACTCCTGCTTTTTCTTTCTCTGCCTGCCAGCCTTTCCTCCTTCCCTCCCTCCCCCCTCCCTCCCTCCCTCCCTCCCTCCCTCCCTCTCTCTCTCTCTCTCTCTCTGTCTTTCTCTCTCCATCTTCAAGGGAGGCCTGTTTGATTTTATGGATCCCTCCTCAGAGCAACAGACATGCTAATAAGAGCCCCCCCCCCAAAAAAGCAAGAAAACTTTCAATGGATTTTATAAACCAGTCAGAAGCCTGTGTGTCTGGGGCTTCTGGGGCAACAACCTATGAGTCATTTTAACAAACACACTCATAATCTCATAGTGCATGTGGTTACTATGGTAATTAGGCCTGGTGAGCTGTCTGTCCCTGCAGAAGGAAGGCGGGGAGAAAACCTGTGAACTCTGAGCTTTGACTGTCAGCTTCGGCCTGCCTGCTATGGGAGCCCCAGTTCAGGGTTTCCCTGGAACTCACTGGCACAGTCATCCTGGAGGGACTCCCCGCACCGTCGTCGTTATTGAAGACAAACTAGCCATATTAGTGTTGGGGATTGCGGTTCTCAAGGGAGAAAAAAGGACAAATGGTTTCTTTAGCTAATATATAATTACAGGTAAGTCTCTAAGGTCAACCTGGTGAAACGCTTTGAGTATCTGTGCACAGGGCTCTAATGATCTCTAAAAGGCACCAAGTGTCCCTGGCATATCATTACTGCTGATTATAATGATCGGTTATATACTACCTAGTTAGAGGCTGGCTTTACGTTTCTGACCTGCCGTCTTTCCTTTATTTATGGACTGGGTTTGAGCCCTTTGTATTGGGCAACCATCTTATAATGCAGGCCCATGGGTCTCCAAGGAGACCCCCAAACTTACAGGAGCTCTACCAAATCAGTCCTTGCTCCTAAGGACACCAAAATCAAAGCACACCCTTGCTTGATGGACGTCCAAGAGGTCCTGGAGCTCAGAGAGTGAACTTTGTAAGGTCACTTGTTTCGAGTTTGTTGAAGACCAGCCGAGCCATGAGCTGAAGACGTGAGGGCGCGTGCAGAACTTCCCAAATTCCCCTCCACAGGGCTGGGCGTCCTCTCGCGTGTATTATTATTGCGTGTCGGTTGCAGCTTTATTCTTTAGAGCGTGCCTCCTAAGAGCAGATTTTTAGTTAGACTAAAATCTCCTTATTCCAAAGGCTTGAAATAGAGTGAAATGTGGAAGGTTTGTGCTCCTTGTACAACATTGTTGGCTCTAAACTACACATTTATTTTTATTCTCATAAGCAGAAATAACTACTAACCAAACTTTATCTTAGATTTGATCATCTTAACATTAGTGAATAAAGTTTAACTTGGGCCACTAAGGTTGCTTGAGAGGTGAAAACACTTGCTTCCAAACCTGATGACCTAAATTGGACGCCCTAGCTGGCAAGAGAATCCACTCCTACAAGCTGTCCTCTGACTTTGCAACAAGTACCATGGTGTGCGTGTCCATATTTACAAGTGTGCACACACATTGGAAAAACATGCAAGATAAATACCTTAAAAATATTTAATAAGATGCCGGGCGGGGTGACGCACGCCTTTAATCCCAGCACTCGGGAGGCAGAGGCAGGCGGATCTCTGTGAGTTCGAGGCCGGGCTGGACCGACAGCCTCCAAAACAATACAGAGAAACCCTGTCTCGTAAAAACCAAAAAAAAAAAATATATATATATATATATATATAATAAGAATTTTCTTTGTTTGTTTGTTTTGAGACAGGGTTACTCTGAATTGTTTTGGAGGCTGTCCTGGAACTCGCTCTGTAGATCAGGCTGGCCTAGAACTTAGAGAGATCCGATGCCTCTACCTCCTGAGTGCTGGGATTAAAGGTGTGGGCCACCAACGCCCGTCCCTAATAAGAAATCTTAACTTAATATTTTACGATCATCAGAGAAATTCATGAAGAGCATTAAAGATTCGGAAGTAATAACATTATAAATTATGAATAACGAAGGGAAGAATAGCCCCATTTATTAAGTTGCTGTCAGTTCTAACACAACTGTGCTCACGGTCACACAGGGGACCCCGCTCTCCTGCCAAGTCGCCCATGCCTCTCTTGTCTGTAGTCCTAGATGCTTGCTGCAAGGACCCAGAAGGAGGGGAGGAGGAGGAGGCACGGGGCCACAGCTACATACACTCCCTTTGCAGTTCTGCACCGAACTCTGCTACATGGCTGCACACCTCCAGCAAGGGAGCGGGGAATTAGCCCCTCTTAACACGGGTGGGCATGGAGTCTTTCTCAAAATACCTTAGTCTTACGTACTCACCTTCTTGAGGTGATGCCTGCAGGATAAAACAAGGCACACTAAGCAAAGACATTGTAACATAGCGTTAGGCCACTATTCAAAGAATGCTTGGCTGTAATAATGAATTACTTCAGTAAGGGACTGAAGAGGCAGGCAGCACATACAGTGTGGGTACTTCGGGCAAAGGGATGATTAGTGCCCTGGGTAGGACTGAGGGAATCAGAGTGGCATACTTTAAAACTTATGAATTATTCATCCCCGGAATTTTCCATGTACTCACAGTTTCGGACTGCAAGTAACTTAAACCCGGAAGAGCACAATCTCCAATGGGACTGCAGGATGCACATGCGAAGTTTTATGTTAGGAAACTCGCTGACATTACACTGCAGATGACATTTTGCATTTGTGCCTGTTAAATACACCAGGCATTTTCTCGCCATTTAAATTTCTTGCATCTGGGCTGGGGATGAAGCACACTGATGGAGAGTTTGCCTAAAATGTGCACCCTCCCCAACAAAAAAAGTCTCATAAGTTCCCTTTGCTTAGCAAGTCGTGTTATTGATAATTGGGTTATTTCTAACACTGTGGTAATAATTTCGTCTATGACTTTTGCTAGAATCCAGGAGTGGACTTCCTAGAATGGTAATTGCGAACATGTCCAAGTCCCTTGATAAATGGTACCAATCTGCTTTCCAGAGACTTGTGCCAATTTACGCTGTCAGCAATAATACATGAGTCGGCACCTCAGAGCAACCTCGAGCAGGCTTATTTTCTAAGTCCCACTTAGTCATTGTTATCCCCAGGGGTCAAGCTCTGAAAATAGGTTGTTTTTTGCCCTTGGCTTGTTTTCTTTTCCTTTGCTGTCATTAATCACAAGATAATGATTTTCTTTTTTAATAACTTTGGCTCATTTGAAACCTGCGACCTCTCCTCGCACTCTGGAGAACACAGCTGATTGGACTGAGACATGTATGCATGTGCCAGTCTGACACAGAGTGAGATCTCTGGGGACACAGACGTCCGTTTAGTCCTGAGACCCCATGTGAATTTGATGAATTTGATTCCCACCCTCAGTCCCACTCCCCTTGGTGTAAGATACCTTTTTCTTCTGAGTCAGAAATGAATTAGGAATGGGAAGATGCCCCCTGGGGCTTCGGGTGGGTGCACAAAGACACTAGGCATAATTAGACTGACTCAGTTGGAATTCACAGGGGCACTGGGGAAGAGTGCAGGTGCCTTTAGACCCCAAACAACCTATTAAAGGCTACATGCTAGACACCTTTACAACTACCAGCTATTTCCATCTGCTTAAAGGACCATACACCCACTGAGCACTCTCGCTCCCCTAACACCTAGGGCAAAAGGAAGTAGTCTGCTTTGGTCTTGGTGGGAACCAATCGGCCTAGTCCGGCAGTAGAGTTTAGAACTACCCATCCTAGGGTACACAGCTTCTGCCACCAAGAACTCTGCTTTGCTGGCCATTGTGTTCTCATGGTGGTTTTTGCTGCTGGTTGCTGGGGGTGGGGTGGGTGTGTACGTGGGTGCGTGCGCTACATACATTTCTTAAAAAGAGAAAGTTCTGACATGTAATTCCAGGACTCTCTGCCCTTACACTAGCCACAGTACCTTTGGCCACAGACGTGTCCATTTGCTCACTTAACTACTATAAAATTTGCTATTTCTCTTTTTCTTAATGTATGTTTTCTTCTGCTTTCTACACAGACAGATCTGCCAGTGAGCCTCCAGCCTTGAATATTGACGAGGTAAGAATTCTGAAATACTGTCTTCCTGGCTCATCATGGACCTAACTAAGACTTCGGGAGGGACCACGAAAACATCAGTAATCTTTAGACCAGGACCTTTAAATACGAGATGTGTTTGCAGAAAACAACCCTTTACAGTCTTTAACAATGCTGTTATGCCTCAGGTATTTAAAGAAACCATGGTTCTCTTTAGTGATAGTCAAAATTGGATTTTTACCCAGATTTCCCCTTATCTTCTGAAAAAAAGCCTGAACTGCAGAACATTTGAAGTTGTTGCCTTAATAACAGGATCCCTGTGGTACCAAATTAAGCAATTTCAGACATTAAACCTGTGTGAGACAGAACCTCAGGGTGTTGGTTTGGGAAGGTAAGCCTTGACTTAAAGGGTTGGTTATAGATGTTGCAAAAGCTTAGCAGTGACCAGAACGGCAAAAGATCAGCTTAGTGCTGGTGGGCCTCTTCTGAAAGACCCTTAATTCTGGAGATGAGTTAAATCTGTTCAAAACGGGCTGCAGACTTGAAAGGCCCTGTTAGCCTGACACAGGTGATACTACAGTTTGTCTACCCCAACCCAGAAGGGAAGTTTCTATTCATTCCATCTTAAAGTTCAACTTCATTATGAAAACTTTTCAGCATATGTCAAAGCAGAGATAACTTATAAAAAAAAAAATCCCCATGTCCTCATCATCCGGCATCAGCAGTTAAACTGTGTAGCCACTTGTATTTAGTAGTTGGACTTTCAGTCATTTATTTCCATATGTGTTTAACAGCTTTAGCAAAATGCTAATTAAAGCAGGAAGCCTCTGTGCCTGGCTTAATTGGCTTCTAGAGCTCGTCATTCATTTGTTTCTTCACACAGCAAATATATACTTAGCTTTACCAAGCCCTAGACTTTCCTTGGGCTTCCTTTGGGTCAGGTTTTTTTGTTTTGTTTTGTTTTTTTACTCAAAGTAATGAGGTCCTCAAATTTGGACTTTTGAAATCATCAAATGAAGTTATCCATCAGAGACACATTGACAGAATGAAAAAATGACATTCATCTACAATTTTAACAGTCAAGTGTGAGCATCTGACATATATCACAATTCTAGAAGCCTGCTGAGGGGTGTATCTCTTAACTTATTAATATAGTGGGATTACAAAGACCACGCATAAAAAAAAAAACTTCTTGCAACTCTCTGATCAATCTTTCTGTTTTATCATGAATGTTCCTCCAGCAACCTGCCTCCCTTCCGAGAAAAAGCTCCAAGAGAGCAGGTGTGGTTTCCAACTGAACAATTTTGCCTCCAGCATGCAGCCAGCACGTCTGGCGTTTGTTATATATTTAATAAAAGTGTTGAATGAATGAACAAAAGAATGAATGCCAGATGCCCAGATGCAGGAGCACAAAGAGGGAACCCACACAGGCCACAGTATTGCTAGCTGCCTGGGGGAGTCAGGTGGCATTCGGGGCCCCATGGAGGAGGCGTGATCAGAGTTACTGGCAGGTGGGGGGCGCTGGGCCGGTGTCCCTGTGAAGGAAAGCTTTGAGAAGTGGTGAGATGCCCTCAGTCTGAGGCATAAAGAATCACAGGTCAGAATGCACACAGAGGCCAAAGGGCGTGGCGTGTTCTGAAAACCTTGGGAGATTTAGAGTGGCCAGAGTGGAGCTGACTGAAGAGGAGGAGGAGGGTGGCAGGCCAGCTAAGTGTGGAGGGACTCTGTAGTCTTCTGGGTGGGCAGGCAGAAAAGAATATGCAATGAGAACTTTTCTTGGAAAAGATGATTCTAGAGGCAGCAGAGGAAATGGAAGGAATACATGGGTCTGAGAAGAGTGGGTTGGATCCGGGAGAGCTGACGGGACTGATAATGGAAGTCAGAAGTAAAGGGGAGAAGACATCCGGGACAGCTTCAAAACCTCTCCTCGGGGAGGACAGCTGGGCAGTGGTCGCCAGGCTCCAAACGCAACGAGAGGGAGTAGAATTCAGATCCCAGGAGTGGTTTCATCCACGTGGGTATGCTTGTAGACTGCTTCCTGCTGGACAGCAGCATTGTCCTGAGTTGGGGCTGTCCATCAAGCCCTTGTAGAAAAATATGGTGACACAGAAGCCATCCAGATCGGTTTCATCAGAAGCCTTAGGGGAAAGGCCTGGATATATGTGGTTTCTCAAAGCTCTGCAGATGGTTTTATGATGCAGCCAGGGTTGAGGATCTCTAGTTGAGAGCTCATTTGAACACAGCTTTGTGCGTGCGTGCGTGCGTGCGTGCGTGCGTGTGTGTGTGTGTGTGTGTGTGTGTGTGTGTGTGTGTGTGTGTGTGTGTAAGACCACACAGAACTTCTGCTGCCCTGCAACCAAGTTCTAAGAACCTTATACCTTTTGGGTGAGGGCTGGGTCATCCCAATATTCCTTCAAATATTACTAAGCGCTAAGAATGTTTTGTACATCTTCCAGTGTTCTTTGTATGTTGTGCGGGTATCATGAGAAAAAGTAAGCTGGAACTTTTCAAACCAGTCGAAGCAGGCTGCCCCATGGAGGTTGTTCATGTGTTTGGTGGGACAGTTCTTCATTGTGCTCTTGGTGCTTGTAGCTCATAAAGGGTGGTGGCGTCCTTTCGTCATTGAGGCCTCTGGAATCCTCCTGGGACGCACTGGGAGCTGCTGTGCCTTCACACAGAACTTTAAATGAGTTATTTGGCTTTTGCTGCTTTCCCCTAAACGTGTTTTTCCTTCAGACACAGTTATTGGTCTCAGCAGTCCCTTACCTAAATCGTCTCTGAGTTAATAAACTAAAGAAAGAAACTAAACAGAGTAGACATACAAAAGATGGTGTTGTTTGTACTCTCATGGGGATTTTGAGTAGATTTGGTTTAGCACTAGGTCTGTTTTTTTAAGTCTAAACAGAGAAGCAAATTAGACACTTGGTAAGAAATGGTCAAATATTATGGTTTGAAACAAAATCCTGCTACTTCCAACTCCCACTTTCAAAGCCTGCGACATTGCGCATATTACCTTCAGACCAGGCACAGCTAAATGAATGGGGATAATCTCATAAGACCCGTAATTTAACTGTATCTTCAGAGTCCCTTTATTCAGGTCAGGCTGCACAGTCAAGGACTCCAGGGGATTGAGACATGGACATATTTGGAGGCTGTTACTCTGCCTACCACAGAGGAAAGAGAATAATGGTTCACAACAGTAGAGACGCTTCAGGCAGCAGAGTCGGTAGTACTCCTGAGTGAAAGAAGCAAGTTCTTGTCTTAGCTCTCCAGTTTCTATTCTGTGGGTCCAGGCACTGGAGCCTTTTGCTTTTCTTAGAGTATTTGGCAATGAAGCAAGCAGACAGGTTGAAATCCGGTGTCTCTCCTTTCTTGGCTAAACTGTGGTACTATGGGTGTGGCCTCTGGAGAGGTTGCTGCTTTGGGTGTCTCTCCAGCTCTGAGTGCTTGTCTACTGGTCACAGGTTCCAAGGACTTTGAATAGCACCAAAGAGTGTGAGGGCTTTATTGTAGGCCGCTATGCCTGCCTGCCACATCAGGCACATTTATTAGGCTCTGAAGTGTGGAGACTTGGGAGGGAATGGTATAATATTCAGCATCTCTGTGTAGCTGGCTGTTACAGCCCGTTTCCAGGTGTGTCTCAGTTTCCTCCGCATTACGTGACTCGTGAGTTACCTTGACTCTCTCCACAATCATATTTGGAATTTCTTCTTTCTAAGACTTCTGATCCCCACTAAATAAATTAATTAATCTATTTATGTTTTAAGTCAGGGTTTTACTGTGTATCTTCCCAAATGCTGGGATTTTGGGTGTGCAACCTGGTGTAATTTTACCAAAACTATCTTGGGGCTAAGGATGTAGTTTGTAGAGTACTTTGTCAAGCTCCAATGAAGGCCTGGGTTTGAGCTCTAACAAAACCCTGAAACAGCAGCAGCGCCCTCATTTCAATGTCTACTGGTGTTTTGTGAGTTAACAAGTTCTATAAGAAACAATACAATTACTTAAGCCCAGATTCTTTTATTTTTTTTCAAAAGAGAGATTAGAGAGCACATGCAAATACAGCATCAAAGTCTCTTGTGACCAGGCAGTGGTGGCACACACCTTTAATCCCAGCACTTGGGAGGCAGAGGCAGGCAGATAACTGAGTTGAAGGGCAATCTGGTCTACAGAGCAAGTTCCAGGACAGCCAATGCTACGAAGAAAAACCCTGTCTCAAAACACCGAAACCAAACCTAAAAAAGAAAGAAAGGAAAAAAAAAAAAAAAAAGACTAGTGCTGGTAGCAGGGTTTCCTGTTGGGGAAATGTCCTGGAAAGAAATGGAGGTGACATTTGCATTATTACTAAATGCCATCCCGGTGTTTGCTTTAATGAAAGATGACTGATTTTAACCTTAATTATAAAAACTGATTAAACTTACAGAAGGGAAAAGACACTGCTTCTTCCTGCCTTCAATTCTGGGAAAGGTCTGCATTATAATGCACTCATGTTAAACCCCTAGCCCTCAGTTACTGTCTGTACTGTTTCGTACCTGGGAGAAAATACTAGCCTCAGAGTCATGGTGGTGCTGAATGAGGAAGCTGTTGAAGGGTAAAAGTGGAACATCTTGCTATTAGTTGTCATTGTTAAAATGTGTCCTTCTTGTCACAAGCTTATCAACTAGTCTATCCTCTGCGAAGCTTATCGCAATAAGATGATTTTTGAAGTTTAGCAATTTAAAGTTTCTTGGCTTTCTTCCATCTGCCGTGGGCTAGAAGTCCTTTTAGCACTGTTGTAAGCTTTTACTATCCTGTACTATGGACTGTAATTGGAAATGATAGAACAGAAGAAGTTCAGATGTAACAATTTTAATGAAATGTGAGCAAGGTAGCATATTTCATATATAGAAATATCTTTTATTAAACTATCTCCTTAGACATCCCAAGGGCCATTAATTGATGAGGACATCTTTCAAGGGATCACGAGTAAATGTGGGTTTAATTATGAAATCTTGGGGCCTTAAATTTCTGCCAGATTTAGAGATAAC